GTGTGTGTGTGTGTGTGTGATTTGTGTGTGTGTGTCGTGTGTGTGTGTTTGGTGTGAGTTGTTTGTTTGAATGTGTGTGAGTATATATACATATATATATATATATGTATACATTGTTCGCTACAAATGTGTGTTGTGTTGCTATGTACAAAGTTTACTTACATACTCACTCAACTAGAAAGTCACACTCTAAACATGTCTATCCATACACTTCTTTGTTGTGTAGTGGCCAACAATATCGTGAGTTTGACGATAGTCAAGGAGGCGGTCAGTTCTGTACTACGTGAGATGGACAATACGGACGACAATGGAGATGTGCAGAGTTTGCCATTAGAGATCATCGATATATTCGAAGTACCTAAGATGACATATGACCCGGACAGAAAACATTTCCTGGCGTAAGTAACCATTCCGAAATGTAAACAACATCGTTTATCGGTATTCTCCTGTGCGTACGTGCTGTAATTTTTATGTGGAACGGCGATGTTACTGCGTGCGTTCGCACAAGTGATCGAGCAGTTCTCAACAGGCTACATTAATGTTGCCGTTTATATTGCTCGTGTGTGCATTGTTGTCCTTAAAGTGATAATTTATGAGTGGCGTAGTACATTCAATTTGAGATAACCGGGAATTGACTCCTTATCATTCCCAGTGTCATTGATCATAGATGTATGCGAATCGTTGTTGCATTGTAAATGGATTCAGTATCTAGGTGTTGGTGGTCATACGACATCGGACAAAAATGCCCCAAAGTATACACTGGTTCACTTTGACAGATTCTTTTTTCCAACCCTATATTAAGACGTAATATTTCTCTCTCCCTGATTGTAGTACTAACAAATATAAGGAGCTGTATCCAGACGGACAAGCGAAGGCCGCTATGTTCAAAGACAGATACCAGAGCATTCAGCAGCGTCTCAGTCGCAATCCATTCTTCATGAAACCTGTTATTGTGACAGCTGACGCTGCGGGGGTAGACACTCCGTACTGTGAGGTGTGTTATCTTGTTGCGATTACAGATATGTTTACACCTCGCGTTTGATATTCTTCTCGAGATGCATTTATGTCACTTATGTGCACATATGTTAGCATGTGTATGTGTGCGTGGTTATTATAGGACGTGCTATGTTTTTTTAAGACTCACACACACACACATA